CACAGAGCAGAGCTTGAATGAAACACAGAGACCCAGAAGTAAGCTACTTGTACTCATGAGGCCTATTATATGCAGAATCCCTCTCCCTTTCAGGTGGTTTTGATTGAATGTCCACACGTGGACGTTTAAGGACTAAAAAACGATAATTGTTTCACTTTGCTGTTAGCAAATCATTTGGCGCTCTAGCTAACAGGAAGTCACTCAAGTGTCACAAAGTAATTTAGCCTATGGGTAGGTCAAAAATCGAATGGGTGCTGACCATCGGCCTAATCATATCACCTGTGTTGGCTTTATGTTTTTGGTCAAACATTTGTTTGTTTCACATTTGCATTGACGTAATCAATACTTTTGCTAATTTAATTTAATAAAAATAATAATAATAATTTTCGGGAAAAAAACAAAAAAACACATATTTTGGCAATCCTGGGTGGTGCTTCAGCACCCCCTAGCTCCCCCCTACCGCCGCCCCTGTTCGTACGTGCAACTTTGCCGTCGGCTGAAGTCTTTGCGGTGTGTTCCAGTCATGGATGTAAAGAACTGGATACAGCGTGGAGGCGGGGCCTCGTTCATTCCAATGAGAGTTGCTCATTGGCGCATGAAGACAAAATGGCCCAACTTTTGAGAGAGCGAAACGTCACGAAAGTATTCATATAATCATATAATCCGTTCTTATTGTGCATCCATGGGTAAAGGTAAAACCCATGTAGTACTGAACACGTCACATGAACGTGCCGGGCGGCGCAGTCCCGTGGGTTAGATCTTAAAACAAAGAGCTCTGCAAGAACGCCTTCATGCTCCTGGCCTGCACACACTGACATATCGCACTGAGAGGAGGCTGTGTGCCGATCACAGAGTGTTTCCACCTGTGGTTTGGGCGGAGGGGCCGGTGATTGACTGCAGAGACATGCTCAGATGGAGCGCAACCCCCCCTCTGATCTGACAGGAAGCCAAAAGGCCATCTGCATGCAGCGGCAGGGCTATTGTGCGGCTATGCATTAAGCAATTGTATGTCCCACGTGAATTTACTGCCGGTCTTCAGTTAGCAGGGTTGCAGGCGGAGAGTTTTTCATGTGGAGAACAAAGGCAGTTTGAGTTAAGAGGGTGAGCCTCGCAGATGTATGAAAAGGGAGAAACACCACCAGATTTCAACTCAATACTTTATTAAATTATCAACACAGTAAACATCATCATGAAAAAAAACAGACAAACAAACAAAAAATGTCACATTTGTATTCTTCAAGTTTCTCCCTCAACAGTTTCACTTTCACACGTTTTAGTGGCTTAACAAAAGTCACTCTAGATGTGCCTCTTCATTTTGGAGTAACAGGTACAATGATGGCTGAGGAAATGCAAACTGGTGGAGGAGGAGACAGATTAATTTTATCCCTGTATCAACATATGTCATAAGTTGACACGACACAGACGAGGTGTTGTGATGAATAAAAAAGGTTTTTGCACCCAGAGGCGAAGCTACAATCGGAGCTGGAGAGCCTGCGAAAAACAACACTACATTAACAATGGCCGCCTCTGTGTCCCCAGCTGGTGCACTGATAAGAAAAGCACTTCTATAAGTGTACTGTGCTCTGTTCTTGTTGTGGTATGACACATCATGACCACGTCTAAAAGAGCAAATTAACGAATGAAGTCTGGTGTGAGACGAGTTTAAAATAAACGATGGTAAATGATAACTTGTCTTAGCTCGTATGTATTCACATGCTTTGCTAATTTTAGATTGATCTTAAGAAATAAGAGTTGATCATTTATTTATTTCACTGTCTCTATTGTTTCTAATCATGAACAGCAATAGTTACACCTGTAGTCACACGTCAGAGACTTTAATACTGTTCACATCATGTTTCCTTTAAATGACCAAATACATCATCTTTCATTTAAAACATCACATTATAAAATGCAAATAAAAGCAGAGGTACAAAAAGAAAGAAACTAAACTACCATGCATGCAAGAAAATTATTTTTGTTCATTTTTTCATTCTTAACAAGTTTTGTTACACACCCACATATTTACATCATCAGTGGAAGGTGTGCGATGCTATGAATCTCACACCAAACTCCAGCAGCATACTGAAATAACTTAACACAACTCATAGAGCTGCGGGGACTTAAAGGAAAGGTCTTGTGATATGCTATTTTCTTCTTATTGTCAACAAATTGCATGAAAATGACCAAACTGACATATAAAAGCCTGGTACATCTTGTTTCTCTGTGCCGTAAAGCTACATTTTGTGTCCAAAAATATAAAAAAACACTTCAGACAGGCTTAATGTCTCATTGGACGAAACATTTATTCAATACAACGAACATGGGCACTGTAGTTTTGTTTTATTATTCCAAAAATCACAGTCCTGTTGCTGTGAATACTGATTGCCCTACATTTGTATTCATCCGCAGCAGAAACTAGTCCCTAACCAATGTTATTTACTCCACTTTGAGTAATGTTTGCTAAAAAATACAGTGACCAGCTTTTTAGGCAAAGTATACATTCATGACATGTTTTAGTGATTTATGCCTTTACTTCAAACAAATGGGCTTGAAGCTGAAAACTCGTAGAGAAAGCACTAAAATAGTCTAATGTATGTTGACAATAAGAAAATATAGAATATCACAAGGAGTTTCGGTTCAATCTTTTATCACATTGTTCTCACAAACACCAAAAGTCTTCAAAACAGAGCTAAGGCCCATCTGAATATTGTGTAAAACAGAGTTGGAGTCCTAGATGAAGGTCCCATTCACAGAAAAAGGTCCTGTTTGCTCTAAACCTAATTTAGTTTGAATAGTCTAGAGTCATATATTATCCACAGAGATGTCACAGGCATCATGTGTCTGTTAGTCAGGTATGCAGAGATCGGGAAACAAGCCGAGGGGTTTGATTGGATAATCACTATTAGAGCTCCAGCTGAGATGCTTGACTTTAAAGCTGCACCGCTGACATGATTGGACGCACAGCTTTGTGATTGGACGGAGGTTCTGACCTGAGGGGAATATCACCTTATTAGTCAAGACCAAACTTCATCACATTTACCAAATTGCGTTAATTAAATTAGGCTTGAATGAACATGGTTCCTCTAGGTCTGTTCCATTTACGAGCGAGCCAACAGAGGTCATCAAAGCAAAGGTCACAACATGCAGATGTATTGCTGTACTGTAACTCCTGATTTGAGTAACATTAAGGGCTGCGGGAGGCGCATGATCGAAGCAGATGTTGACCTTAACTCTGACCCACATTCACAAGCAAACACAACCAACACGGTGCCAACAAACAGACCCATTCTGCCCTTCCTCGTCCTGACAATGGCTGGCGGGTGTGGGGTGTCAAATCTAATGAAGGCCAGGAACAACAGCTGAGTGTGTGGAAATGGGGTTGGAGGGGTTGGGAAGCTGGACGGAGAGAGGGAGTTCAAGACACAAGTGTCCTTGTCAGACACGGGGCCAGAGAGAAAGAGATGCAGCAACGAGACCAAAATGGCTGCCAAAGAGCCGGTGGTGTCTCTGTGTGAATCACCGCCATCACTCCTAGAATAGCTGCTGATAGCTGTAATCATTTTTTAAAATTGGATACAAGCACCAACATTTCCATGTTCATCCCTCTGGGGGCATTACAAAAAGAAAGCCTGTGTTAGCATCTTTTATTTTCTAAAAACCACATAATTTTAACCACAGGATCAATTTCTGTGAATTTGCTATTGAATTATTGACTGCAGGACATCACATTTAGAAACTTCCTCAGAGCTTAATTGTGTCATTTTAAACACAACATGTTAAAATGTGGGGCTTATTAGAAAGCATTTTGGAATCTAAACGTAATACTAATACTAGTCTTCTATGTGAGCTAAATTAGTTAACCATCACTGAACACCATGATGTCACCAGAACTACCTCTTGTGCTACACTCCTACACCTACAAAAGACCTCAACCACCTCCACTGAGATGCAGATTATTTTGATCGTATGGCTCAGATATGGTAGAAAGAAGCTTCTGAATCATTCCTGACGTCTGAATTTGGTTTCTGGTAACAAATGTATGATATGACACCAAGATCAACCATAGAGGTCAAGTGAAAGTGATTTGATGGCAAAAAACATTTCCAAGCCATCATTTGTGGCCATCTTGAAAATAGCCATCTGAGTGGATAACGGGCATTTTCAAAAGGAGTGTGTTTGCCAAATGTAGTACTTTTATCCACTTTTGAACGATTTCCCGGGTATATTCAATTATTTGCCCCACTATTGGTTGACTGGCGTGAGCTCATGCCAGATCCCTCAGGCGGGCAGGAAGGAAGCCGTCACTCCAAAGAGCCCGGATGAGCTGCAGTAGCTGGGCTAAGCTTTAGGTCGCTGAAGGCCTCGGAGCAGGATTTGAAGGCAGCACTCGGGGAAGTGTGTCCAAATCTCATCGGATTCTGAACCTTTTACTCATTCCCTCGTGTTTTCATCCCTCTCTCTTTATTTGATTGGGTGGGAGGATTAGGAGTAGATTGGGGAGGGGATGTGACCGAGAGTGTGTTTGTTTGCACATGTGTGTAAAGGTCAGATCTGAGAAAGGACCTTTTTTTATCCTTGACCTTGGTGGGGAATACATACAGCAAAGTGTGCAAGAGCTATACTGCCCGAGGAGGAGGGGCGTGGAAACCCTCCAGACCAGGGACGTGCACAGGTACGGGCTAATGTTGCCCGGGCAACGGCCCGTTTGGCCTTTGTGGCTGACCTGCCCCTCTGGAGAGAGCGAGAGTTTGTTTTTCTTTTTCTGTTGTGGCCGAATCAACATGATAAGCCCTCAATTAGTATTGTAGCGTCTCGCTGCGGGAAACACACTTTGTCAGCGCTGTCATCTGCCGGTGCGTTAAGACCACCTCAGTGTCGGATTTTGGAAACTTGATTTTGAGTTGTCTCATGGCAGTTAGGGTATAAGGGACAACCCAGGGGACTTTACTTCCTCTTGATACCGGCGGTTATTTACAAAAAAACACCTAAATATAGCCTACTTGTTGTTATTGTGCTTCTGTGTTTTCTGTGTCTTCATCTGTAAACTCCCTCAACAGGCTGCTCGCTCTCTTTTCTTGATCGCCCTCTCACGGGTGAACAGTTCAATGTCCCGCTTCATTGTAGGATTTCTGCCATGTCTCTACCACTTTAGTTTCGACCATCTCTGTTACTATTAAGTTATGGAATACTAAATAACTAAGTAATTAGATACCTTACCCCTACCTAACCCCTAATTAGTTAGAGGCCCTATTTTATCAGTATGGCTGCACAGCAGGTACTATGGTCAAACTACATTAGAACAGAATTGTCCCCGTTTTTCTTTAACAGTTACTAACATTAGATATTTTAATGAGATATGGACCGCAAAAAAAAATTTCCCTGGTTTTCATTTTTAAAATCAAGTTACCGAATGCAAGTAGTCGCCTTAGATTATTTTGTTATGAGATGTGAATTACTGTTCAATTTAGTTGATGTAATAATCGTTTGGTTTCTTACATTAAAAACAAGTTACAATTTTCAAAAGGTCTTGTGTTTTTTATCGGGGGGAGGCCCTTTTTCCAGTTTAGAGCAATAGCCCCTCCAAATGTCTGTGCACGTCCCTGCTCCAGACGCCCCAACACAATAAGATTAAGGCTTTGCCATGTGCTATTGTTGGCACCATGCCTTGGTAAAAGCTGGTCAAGCAACCATGATATTAGAGTTGAAGCAGCTTCTTAACCAAGTAGCATCCTGCTGGGGAGTTGAGTATCCAACACTGGAGGTGGGGACACAACAAAAGGATACATTAAGAGGATAAAAAGAGAAGGAGTCAAGCTGAAAATAACCACTTTCTTTCATATAGCCTTTCTCTTGTAAATAAAGGGTTACATTTCACTTTTTCATTGGAAAAAATCTTTGGTTAAACTAGTAACCGTTGGTCACACCAATCTGGTGCAAATATGTGCAGTTAATTTGTGCTTTCCCCCATTTCTCTATCTACTAATTTTGCGTAACAACTTTTGAATTTTTGGGACACAAAATCCAGCAAACATTTGTTTTTGTATCTTCATATATTATTCAGTGAAACAATTATGCCAAACCTTGGGCTCACCTGTGACTACCTCTGAAAACACATGAAATCACACGGGATGAGATTAAAGGCAATGAAGCAAAAATGCCAATGGTTGATTGAGAGGTAGAACAGGACTGTTGAGGAGGATGAGGATGGGACTGACACAATAAAACTCTTAAAAACACCAATCAACTGAGAGCTTCAGTGCCTCTGCTCTGGACCCTGAGCTGCACACGTGTGTCACGCAACGTTCATCCATGCACCTTAAAGTGAATAGAGAGCACACAACAAGGTAAAAGTGTTTGGTTTGTGTGTTACAGTCCAGCACGGTCCAGCCTGGCCTGGATTAGCCACTGAAGCTCTGCAGGGCTGCCGAGTGGACAAGAAGGTGGCAGAGGTGGAGGAGGGGAGGGTCTGCAGTAATCTGCTAATCTCATTAATACCACAGCCTGTGGGTGCTCTGTCAACAAGAATGCAGGGGACAAAGGATGGAGCGAACAGCTGATGACCATGGCTGCCGTCCACTGCATAATGCCAACATAGACAACCCCCCCCCACACACACACACGCACGCACACACACACTCACACAACATCCATCTCAAAATTATGCTTCCACCAGGAGAGTCTCCTGAGATAAAATGGAAACACAGATGCAGGCTCGAATGAGTAACGAGAAAAAAAACAGCAAATGTCCCCTCAAGCCAGACGCCCCTCAAAAGGCTCCACAAAGACTTCCGCTCTACTTTACTGACCACACAGCAGACCTAACATGACCTCTAGCTGTCCCCGTCACTCTGACTCACTTCTCACTGCTGCCACATGGGGCTTAGCCAGCAGCGGATGTCAACATGTCTCCTCTTGTTGCCCCTGGAAATGAAAAAACTTGGCCTCGGAGGATTATATTGTCCGTTTTATTCTTCTGTGAATCCACGCCGATGTTTATAATGCACTGTGAAGAATCCTTGATGAATCCTTGATGATACCATGGTGGAGGGAATGAGTGGCATCCTATTGTCCTAAGCACTGATTGAGCACATTCAGAGAAGTTCATAGAGGATAGGAGGGCTGGTTGTGCAGATCCATAGGAGCATGCTGGGACCACGTACGGGACAGATGGGCCAAATGGGTTCTTCAATTCAAGTAAACTCAGGGTGATATTCCAGGACAAGGAAAAGAAAGCAAAACACTGTGAGCTTCTTTTAATGCCAATTATCTTGGGGATAATGTTTATAATTCCTTTTTGTTGAAGATGCAAGGGAGAACAGAGATTGAATCATTACATTTATTACAGATAGGTGCCGACATTCCTCCAGCAGAAGAAGAAAAGGAATCCGATGAGGCCAAATGTATGCTTTCAGTGTGCAAGTATACATCTGCATGAGTGTAAAAAAAGGCATGTGATCAGCCAAAGTTCTTCTCACCGCTCCAGCAACCGACTATAGTCCCTGAGGGCCGCAGCCGCCCTCACTCTTGAGTTCAGCAATACTTGTGTGAAATAGTGCGGGTCCGCGTTGATGCGCAGCATCTTGGGCGCTGGTTGCATTGATGATGGCGAGGCAGCGGTCCCAGAAGGCCTCCTTACCGCCTCCACCAGGAAGGGGCTTGAGCGGGTACGAGATCTCGTTGCCCATGTAGGAGTAGGACAGGTAGAGGCAGGTGAGCAGGATGGCCTGCAGCTCGTGCTCCGACGACACAAACGTCGCCATCCCACCACATCTTCGACAACAGTCATGTAGACGAAGACCACGTTGGCGGGGCGTGACGAAGGCCTGGTCTGCCAGCCCTGCAGCAGCAGCGAGCGGTCCACGTCCCGCAGCCACAGCACCGGTCGGCGGGGGCCAGGAGCTTCAGCCGTAGCAGCGACAGCACAGGAAACTCCCCCAGGCAGCGCAGCAGCTCGCTGGTGGAACGCCTGGACGATGACGCGCTTTGGGGGACGACGTCACGTCCCTTGGGGAACTTTTTTTCACAGAGGAGAAGCAGTTGTGATTTGCTGTAGCCCGTATCCGTGGCCCTGGCCCAGCCCCATGCCCGTAGCCGAGCCCCAGACCTGCTGGGCCCTCGTAGCTGGACAGGTTGGCACAAGGAGAACGACTTCTTCTTCACATTTCGCGGTTGAGGTGCAACAAGGGGTCCTTTTGGTAGATGTTGATGTTGTTGTTGAGAGGGTCCCCGAGGGCCATTTGACCACCGGAGCCTTTCTTGGAGTTACCCTTCTTCTTGGTTGAAGCCACTAGTCGCTTCCATGTCAGCGCCGGGAGGAAGATGGACTGCCCCCTCTTCAGCCCGCGCTCTTCTGGCTGTTGAGGGAGCGGCTGCTGATGCTCGGGTAGTGGCTGAGCGAGCCCGGACGGTTGTCATAGTAAGCCTGACTTCCGAAAGCCGGGGGACAGGGATTAGGATAGTGCCCATGGTGGGTCCACAGATATACTGCCTTGCTGATGCTGTTCAGAGAGTTTGTAGCAAACCTCTTTACTCCTAATATCCACAGATGTGAACTCTCATCAGGGAAAACAGCAATGAAGACAAGAGGGCAGTCATGTTTAAACGAGCGTGCTGCAGAGACCTGCAACAGGAAGAGAGGGTTTAGTAAACACAACACAGTAAAGTAACATCGTAATCTCACTTTAACATCCACATGGGCCACAAAACAGTGCAGTAACTAAGTACATTTACTCGAGTACACAACTTAAGTACAATTTTGAGATACTAGTACTTTCTAGATACATTTTCATTGTTTGCTAATTTGTACTTATTATCCACTAAAATGCAGAGTTTACAGTGTACTTTTACTCAACTACATGTATTACTTTGCAGATTAGGATTCATTATTTGAAATATTACAATCAGCACATAAATAAGACTTTAGTAACACCTGACATCATACAAAGTCATTAAAACATGCTCAGCCTTTACCAGCTGTTGATAAACAACAATAAAACATCAATAATTATAATCAGAACATATCATATATAATATAATAAAATCGGTCAATCTGCATAATGAGGTCCTTTTAATTTCAGTAGTGTAAGTATTTAATATAAATAAAATATAAATGTTAATGCTAATACTTTGTAGTTTTACTTGAGTAACATTTGCATCGGATGACTTGTACTTGTAACAGAGTATTCCTACACTGTGATATTACTTCTTATACCTAGCCACATAGCGTAGAGTATAATAACATATGCCTCTCCTACCATTACATGCTCATCCTGTGCAGCCAAAAGCAATTAGAAAAGAGGGGATCCTAATGTTTCCAAACATCCTAGAATATTTGGGCAAATGTGTATAAATTCCCTGTCAAAATATTGTGACTGGAGGGTTGTGTTTTATACAGAATGTATGTGTGATATCAGACAGTCAGGATAAGACAATGTGTTCCGAGCTCTAAGGGAAAATAAACTGGATTTTAAAGGGTTAATCAATGACCTACTATTCTCTGGAACCCGTGAAGATTCCTTGATTTAAAACTATTAAAGGATCTATCCATGCATGAGCCAAAATGGTGAATAGAGCACATTTTAAGCATTTTACGCACACTTTTTCCTTCTTTATCAAGATGTTCTATTTTTAAAATCAGCTGAAAACGCTGTTACTTTAAAAACAGCAACATTTGTCTTAACATTTCGTCTCCATAGCTGTCAAACTTAGCGCTGCTTTGACGCTTACCTGTTTGAACGAGATGTCCGGGTTTGTGTTTTGCCGCAGACTGCGATGGTGCAAAGATATAAAGGAGCGCAAAACAAGCGCGCTGTTTGCGCAGCCGGTAATAAGAGCTGGCAGAGAGAGCGATGCTGGTCCTTCTGCAGAACCAGAGGCAGACACTCGCTCTTTGCTTTGACCTACTCTTCTCCAGAGATGTGGAAGTGTGGATCAACGCGTCGGTGCTCGCCAGGCGGTGCCGATGTCATCCTCCGCGAACCTCAGGCGGACGTTGTTGTGATTATGTGTCTGTTCGCTTCTGTCTCCATGTCCAAAATGTAAACTTTCAAAGAGTCTTTTCAATGTTTTTCAAGTCTCCTCTGACTTTCCCCGGTTCTGATCCCGGTCCCCGGTGCAGCTGTGAGTCCGGACGCGGAGCACTTCAGTCAGCTACTGACCGCTGATCGGTCCCGATCTCTCTGGGCGGGATGTCTCATATTAGAGGCTGAGCAGCCACACGACACACACACACGCGCGCCCGCGCACACACACACCACACACACACACAGTCACACACACACACCACACACACACACCACACACACACACACACACACACACACACACACACCACGCACCACACACACACACACACACACCACACACCACACACACACACACACATCACACACACACCCACACACACACACACACACACACACACACACACACACACACAGTCACACGTAACACGCACACACACACATTTCATCTGAAGCAGGAGTCATTTTAAGTGTAAAGATAAGCCCATAATAAACTGTATCGATGCATATTTGTCAAGAATAAAAAAGAATCTAAGAAAACAGAAGTTACATAATTATATATACTATATATTAATACTTACTAATAAATAATGCTAAATAAAATCACATCATATTTATATTTAGAAAAAATAAAGCATAATATTGAATAATTTAATTATATTAAACTAAATTACATTTGTAAACAAAATAATACTTATTATATTAAGCAAAACAAATACAATTAAAACCACTTATGGAAAAAATGTATCTTATAGGTGGGCTAGAGATAATCTCTCTAGGGCTCTGGGAGAAACCAGCTCGAGTGGAATATAACAAAAAGAGTATCTCGAGCCGGTTTCTCAAACTTACCTACCCCACCTTTAATGAGTTAAAATAAAATAAAAGAAGTTTAGAAAACAAATATTAGTTATAGTTTTTTCTTCTGATGGCTTCAGCAGGGGCCGGTTTTACGGGGGTGCATAAGGGTGCATTGCACCCTCAGTTGAGTCTTTATGCACCCTCATTTGAAAAATTCAAAGTGAAAAAAGAATATAGTCAATGATGGACATCAGAAAATGGTTAAAACAACCAGCTCTTATCGCCAGCAGTAACACTGCATCTACTGCAGGTAATAACAGTTCAGATCATGGGGACATTACGTTACCTGTCGTGGACACTATCGTCCTCCCGCCCGACTCGCCGGCTTTGCCCGCCTCGCCCACGGAGGCGGAGCAGCCGCAGCCGTCTTCATTGCCCCAAACACCGCCACCCCTCGGCGGCCCGCAAGTGCCAGAGGACCTCGGCAAAACAGAGCCTGCCCAGGTATACAGTGGGGTAAAAAAGTATTTAGTCAGCCACCAATTGTGCAAGTTCTCCCACTTAAAAAGATGAGAGAGGCCTGTAATTTTCATCCTAGGTATACCTCAACTATGAGAGACAGAATGGGGGGAAACAATCCAGGAAATCACATTATAGGATTTTTAATAAATTAATTGGTAAATTCCTCGGTAAAATAGTATTTGGTCACCTACAAACAAACAAGATTTCTGGCTCTCACAGACCTGTAAGAGCCTCCTCTGTCCTCCACTTGTTAACTGTATTAATGGCACCTGTTTGAACTCGTTATCAGTATAAAAGACACCTGTCCACAACCTCAAACAGTCACACTCCAAACTCCACTATGGCCAAGACCAAAGAGCTATCAAAGGACACCAGAAACAAAATTGTAGACCTGCACCAGGCTGGGAAGACTGAATCTGCAATAGGTAAGCAGCTTGGTGTGAAGAAATCAACTGTGGGAGCAATTATTAGAAAATGGAAGACATACAAGACCACTGATAATCTCCCTCGATCTGGGGCTCCACGCGAGATCTCACTCCGTGGGGTCAAAATGATCACAAGAACGGTGAGCAAAAATCCCAGAACCACATGGGGGGACCTAGTCAATGACCTGCAGAGAGCTGGGACCAAAGTAACAAAGGCTACCAACAGTAACGCACTACGCCGCCAGGAACTCAAATCCTGCAGTGCCAGACGTGTCCCCCTGCTTAAGCCAGTACATGTCCAGGCCCGTCTGGAAGTTTGCTAGAGAGCATTTAGATGATCCAGAAGAGGATTGGGAGAATGTCATAGTGGTCAGATGAAACCAAAATAGAACTTTTTGGTCAAAACTCAACTAGACGTGTTTGGAGGAGAAAGAATGCTGAGTTGCATCCAAAGAACACCATACCTACTGTGAAACATGGGGGTGGAAACATCATGCTTGGGGCTGTTTGTCTGCAAAGGGACCAGGACGACTGATCCGTGTAAAGGAAAGAATGAATTGGGGTCATGTATCGTGAGATTTTGAGTGACAACCTCCTTCCATCAGCAAGGGCATTGAAGATGAAACGTGGCTGGGTCTTTCAGCATGACAATGATCCCAAACACACCGCCCGGGCAACGAAAGAGTGGCTTCGTAAGAAGCATTTCAAGGTCCTGGAGTGGCCTAGCCAGTCTCCAGATCTCAACCCCATAGAAAATCTTTGGAGGGAGTTGAAAGTCCGTGTTGCCCAGCGACAGCCCAAAACATCACTGCTCTAGAGGAAATCTGCATGGAGGAATGGCCAAAATACCAGCAACAGTGTGTGAAAACCTTGTGAAGACTTACAGAACACGTTTGACCTCTGTCATTGCCAACAAGAGGGTATATAACAAAGTATTGAGATGAACTTTCGTTATTGACCAAATACTTATTTTCTACCATAATTTGCAAATAAATTCTTTAAAAATCAGACAATGTGATTTTCCTGGATTTTTTTTTTCTCATTTTGTCTCTCATAGTTGAGGTATACCTAGGATGAAAAATTACAGGCCTCTCTCAATCTTTTTAAGTGGGAGAACTTGCACAATTGGTGGCTGACTAAATACTTTTTGCCCCACTGTATTTAAAGAAGCACCCAACTCGCCTGTACAGTGGGGTAAGGCGCTCATTTTGCAGCTCATGGTTTATAAACAAGAGATTGGCTGGAATATTCATGTTAAAAACATGCCATCTTCTGCTATGCATGTAGACATTTCGGGTTCAAGTAGGCCTACGTCAGATGCCTTCACCACAACTGTACCAGAGTCTCCTGGTACTCATCTTAGTAACTCACTCACTAAAAATGAAATACTATATGACAGTAAAACAAGAATACAGTTTAAAAGAGGAGTGATTTGTAAAATATCCATAAAGAAAAAGTAAATCTGTTTACAGTTCTGTTTCATATGGGTGTTGAGATGTATCCATAGATCTCTTCATTTTGCTCTCAAAGTGCACCAGATTGATGCTTTTAACTTCAATATTAAAAAAAAAATCTTCCTGGGGGAGCATGCCCCCGGACCCCCTAGAGGAGGTGAGGACCCCCCTAGAGGGTGTTAAGTCCACTCCCCACTTATAAAAATAGCACTTTACCACTGCACCCTCTCTAATCTCAGATGCAC